CTGGAATTCTAACATGAATATATGAGTTTTAAATAGAAGTATCAAAGTTTTCATGTCTTCTCATGGGTAAGGGAATTTTTTTTTCACCTCAAAGGTTTAGCCATGTTTAAAGGGCAAATACAGAATTAGTTGGGCTTATAAGTCACCTGAAAATATTAGTTCCGCGAGAAAGATTGATAAGTGCTTATCACAAAAGCCTTTCAAACAGAAATAGGCCCACGAAATTTACAGGCTTCTATGTTTTCAAATCAAAATGTTGCACTTTTGAGAAGAAATTTAAAAAAACCTATAATTTTACCGACTTGTAATTGGTTATCTGCACTAACTTGCCACATTTTAAATTGGTCTGCGCTATACGTACCCTCTTTTAAGAGCTGGCAAGCCAAAAAAGAGTGATCCTTTTCCAAGGCTTTCACGAATTCCTCATATGCTCTCGGTCCTTTCGTGGCTAACACCATCAACAGCTCTTCATTCTTTTCTTCTTGTGAGTGTTTTTCCTCTATTTTCTCTATATCGTCAGAGGTCAATACACCGGCCGTCAGCAATTCAAGCGAAACGTCCTTTGGATCAAGCTTTTCCAGGAGCAGCACATAGAACTTCAAGAGGATGTTCTTGTATTTGATGTTTCCCATAGCAACATTTTCTTCGTCTGTTAAACTTTTGAAACCTGTGTAAATCAAATTACAGACAGTTNTCTCTTAACTCTACATTGAATTTTAAACTTAAATGAGAACAAAAGTTTTGTAGTTGTTTTTGTGTTGTGACAGGAAAATTCTCCACTTCTATTGTTGCATAGCGTCTCAAGCGATCTTGTTGTCTATTTTGTTTCTGTGCAGTTTTTTTGGTAGTAACACCAGTAGTAGCAACTTTGATGGGTATAGTACCTAAAGATGAAAGTGAGAGAAAGAAGGAGAACATAATGATATAAATTTTAGAGTAATTTCTTGCGTTAGAGACCGTTCGTTACTAGCATAGTACTCAGAGGGGACGTATGGTAGGCATAAGATCAGTTGTGTTGAGTTACTGCCTTTTGTATCTGCGGGCTCTTATAAGAAGTTTAAGATACTTTCTCAGCGTACGACCCGAAGTTAACATTATCAAATATTCGTGCCACGAAAGCTTTAAAGGTACGTTCTGAGGTTTTGAGCACTTTGTTCAGTATAACCACCTGGTCCCATATATTCTCGCTGACAATGGAGAAGAACAAGGTTTTTGAGTCACATTGGGCCCTAGCTCTCGCAAAGTACAGTAGTATATGAATTGGGACGGTGCTTTAATTGGAGCAGGGGGAGGTGGGAACAAGAACAGGGTTGTCGCGTAATTGTATATGGTAATCATCTCCTGGGAAAGAACTTATGTAGCTGATCATAATAGTCTAGGTATTCTTCACACTTTGCTTCTGGTCTTGCGCAGCTGTTACAACCCTGAAAAAATTATCAGCTGGTCATCCTTTATATTAGGCTGATTATCTGCTGCAACCTCATCAATCAGTGTTTGCCAATGATTTCAGTTTCCTGGTACTGCCTGAATCAAAGTTCCAAACGATGATACCCACAGTGCATGAATCCAGCATTCCAGCTACATTACCTGCGGCAATGATTCAACTGATTCAAATGATTTTTTTTGGCATATTCATGGTTCGATGTTGCTGCTAAGCCTCCAGCCAGTTGGTATTTTTTAACTATCTTGCATTGATTTGTGATTGTCTCACACACATTAATTGTGTGTTAAAAGTGTAAAGTGAGTTACCTAAGTTTCCCCGTGATTTCTTCTTTGTCTTCTTGGTGCACTTTGTCTTCCTCCAGCGGGGCTGTTTGATGCTGGATTTGTTCAAAGCTATAAAAAAAAGGAACAAAGATAAGCCGACACACAT